TTTGCAGGCTCCCCCGGGTAGCTTACATCGTTGCGATATACCAACAAGAGATAATTCAAGCACTCCTAAACAGCCAAATTTTTCTCCACTATGTTCAAATCAGGAGACTTCGTTGAAAATTTTATTTGTTTGTTTTTGTAATACCTATGATAGTGTACCGAAATAAAGGCAGCAAAAGGCAAGATCAAAGAGATAACGGATTTTCGGTTTTGGTTCAATTTGACCCACGTATCAATCTAATGATTTTGCTGACTTACTTCATTTTTCTCACCAGATGCTTACCTTAGCAGCCACTTCACTAGTCAGAAGCGCTGGATCCTCATTAGGTTTTCGTTTTGCTTGTTCTTCCTTCTTTTCCTTGAACCAGGTTTCCAATCTATCTAGCTTCTTGGCAAATGCATCCGAATCCGACTGAAAAATGGGACTCGATAGTGTGCACATATGCAGTTGTGGCAATAGTATTACCTTATTGAATAATGACTTCTCGTCATCTCCACCCATATTTGCCATAATTCTGGACGAATTCAGGATAGATTCCAGATTCTTTATCGCCTCTGGTAGAGTCTGAAAATCTTCGAATACCACTAATTGCTATGGTTTACAAGAAAGGTAAGACAAACCTTTGCCTCTTCAACTCTCCTCAGCACTGGCCGCACAAGTGCTTTGAGAGTCACATGATTTTTGGTGAATTCTGCGGTCTTCGTGTCTGGTGTTGTATCATCTTCAAGCCATGTTCGAATGCGTTTCGTCTAAACGTTCTCATAGAAAATAAAGGTCATACAAGTAGTAGTACAAACTCCGTACAAAGTCGTAAACTGAATTTCAACCATGAGATACTGATATCAAATTTCGTTTATAAAAAATGAGAAGCATGTTTGAATGCCGAAAATCTGGTTCAAAATCTCGGTCAAAAATATGCAAGACGAGAAAAACGTCGAAAAGTTTTAGAACAAAGTTTCTTACCTCTTCACCAATCTTATTTCTCTCCTCTTCTGTTGAATGCAGCACAAAGTTTTCGTTTTCCAGCATTTGGCTGACCTCGAACGCATAACCCTCAAGATCATTCTCCGCAGCTGCCCGTTCTCGTGCATGCTTTTCCCGTTTTTCGAATTGCTCCAAACTGGAAAATAATAAACAATAACAGAAATAATTGCGCCCAAGATAAAAAGTCAACTTTCGCAAGTGAAAAAAACGCTTAAAATAAAAAATTTGTTTTGGATGAAACTTACATCTTCTTCGATTCGGCGACTTCTGCCTTACTCATCAAATGTGTTGTCGTAATAACCTGTTCCGTCTTCAACGCTACTCTTGATATTTCTGGGATCTTTTTCTTTGCTTCGGCAGTGGCATTCT